TCTGAATCATTTATGTTTATTTTTAAGAACAAAAGGGGAATGCTTAAGTTTAAGCTGGTTCTAGCAGAACGAGTAGTCTCGTGATTCCGAAGTTTTTTTTTTCTGATTTTCATGCTATCAAGTCAGGTCATTTTTCCTGCAGCTTAACCGCTCCTTTACATACATGAATCATCAAGAAAAATTGCTTGACAGTCCTTTGCTGTTATACAGTTTTTTCTAAAAGAGTCCTTGACACTTGATTAATTAGTGGTCAGGCTTCAAATCTATGATCGCAGATCTTCTTGAACTTGTTTTTAGACGTAAATGTTCGTGTTTTAGCAAACACTCATTGCAATGATCATATCTATTTCAGGCGTATGACAGCGGGTGAAGACGTCGCGTTGTCGGCGCCGTCGTTGCGAGACTTGTCGGCCGGCGTCCTATGCCAAAAGACACAGCTTCAGGTAATTTATATGCATAGCAAACAAAAGTTGACCGAATTATATTTTTTCCTTATTATATTACATACCATGCGTACAAAAAAGGATAAAAATATTTTTTGCAGGATGTTGTGCTGAAAATGCATTTGCCTTTGCCTGTTAGCCATTCACTGTTCAACAAGAAAAAGGAAGAATGGCAACGATCAGTAAGTTTATCTCCCTTATGATTAATTTACTCCTTTCTCTTTGGATGATTTATAGTGCTGCGCCTAATTCATTTTATACTACTTATCCATTTTCAGAAAGAACCCGTCGCGGCAGAGGCATTGCGAGCATGGTGCGACTCATCTCGACTACCATTGTCGCATCTTGATCTGACTGGAGCAGATTTGACGGATTCTCTACTAGCTGATCTACTAGAAGCTCACCAAAGTGGCATAACACAGTTGGACTTGACTAATGTGAAGGTTTGTCCACAATCTCTTCACAGAGTTGTTTGTTTCTTATGTTAGCAATTTTCTAGGGCATTTCCGATGAAACAAACGCGCTTCTGGACCAACGTAATGTAGCATTTCCCAATCTCCGATCTCTCAAAATGACATCTATGGAACTATTGAGCCGTCCTCCCCCGCGCAGGTCCTTATTTACATGCTTCATTCGTGTCGTGGCGTATGATTTTCATTCGATTTATCATTAAAGGACGCATTTTCAAAGTTTCACTTTAGGAAAGTCGGTGTAGCAAGCATGGACACTCGTAATGTACCCGTTTTGGGTGA